GCAAGCAAACAAACAAAAAAAAAACCCTAAAAAACCAAACAACAAAAAACCCCCAACCAAACAACAACAAAAAAAAAAAAAAAAAACCAGACCAAAATCCACTCACTCACCTCCCCATCACTTCTGGCACTACAGTTATATTGTAGGAATTCTCTTCTAAGTTACTAACACTATCCAAGTATAGGAGGTTTTTTCCATGCACTTCAAACTACCAAACAGATGAAAACACATCACCGAAACCACTTTAGCTATGTTCACATGGGGATAAGGTTCATCTTGTTTAATTTAAAAAATGGACATTACATGTTTTGTTCTAATAAATGTCTCCTCATCTGAAAAGTCTGGCCAGTGGGAAAGAAAAAGGCATATTTAGTACTGCATTTCAAAGATCAGCAATTTCTTCCACTCTAAGTGAGTTTATGAGATTTAAAGGAAATATAATTCTACATGTTCGTATCAAATGGTATTGTAGGCAGCAGTTAATAGATTTAAACAGGGCTTTTTGTAGACACAGTTTATGAAAAAAAAAGGTTTTAACAGGTTTTCAGCAAGTCTTTTGTATGTTTTAAATCCTACTTCCTTTTTATAACAAAATTAAAACATAATTCCCAATACAAAAGAACAGCAGCATAACAAAATAATTTAAAAGAATAAAAAGTCAGTAATATATTCTTTCAAGACTTTTGTTCACATATTTTTTTCAGAATTTGGAAAAAAAATAAAAAACAAAAAAAACCACCCCAAAATTTTAATCTAACACCTACTCTCTCGTAACGTACATTCCACCCAGCGTACAAAACAGGCTACTTACTGAACTAGATGTGTCCAGAGGGCTTCTGCACCGGACTGGAGATAATTCTATTGAACAAAGCACTCCAAGTGGCTGACTACCACATGGACTATGCAAAGAAGGGGACAAACATGCAGATACATTCCCATTTTCTTCTAAAAACAGCTTTCTTCTGAGTGATGAAGAGCTCAGATTTTCCTGAGACTGATCTGCTAATTCATCAGCTCTAAAATATTCACCTAGAAGTGTGGGGAGAAAATTTTTTTCCAAAACAAATGTGGAAAAAAAATACATTCCATTACATAAACATATATAATTAAATTAAAACATTTAATCTAATTTACCAATACAGCAACTAATTAATCTGTTTAGGCACCTATCCCAAAGGATTGCTTTTCATCCCTACAAAGTCACCTCTGTCTACTAAGGGTCATTCCATTTCTGCCTATCATCCCTCAATCCTAAAGTCTGAATTAAAAAAAAAAAAAAAATAAAAAAAATACTGGCTTCTATATACTTATTGATCTTTCTCCAGAACTGTATTATTCCTCACATCTGAGTTGTCAAACAGGAATTATTTTATGACCTAAGCAAACCTAGACTCTTTTTCAGGTCTCCCATGTGCTTTGATGGTCTTTGTGATACATCCAGAGGCAAAACAGATTAGAATTTAAGAAATTACAAGTAGTTAGCTGTTTACAGTAGGAAAGCACAAACTAAGACCCATTAAAATATGCTCAGATTTACTAGATTATTTTAGATTTTTTCCCTGTTGCTCTATTCTAGTTGAATATTACCTGTAGGAGAAATTTTTCATGAACTCCCAAAACTATGTATTGATGGAAGCATTTGTCAAGACAAAAAACAAAGGCCAATAAATATGTTCTGCTGGCCCACAGTCATGGTTCTGAATTTCAGCACTGGGATAGGAGCATGCAGCCAAAATGCTCTGAGCTGGCTGTACCCACTGTTCCCACCTATGAGCTTTAAGATCAGGCCCTTCCAGCCCCCCTGCCTGAGAAGATGGCAGCAATTGCTTGATGTAGATAATCAGACAGTTAATTTGGACTCCTGCCTCCTCACTCTGCAGTCATGGCTTTTTTGCCACCACACAATTTCTATTCCCCACCATGGTTTCAGGTAGACTAAAGCCAGAGTTACAGCTCAGCTTTACTCAAGGCAAGGCTAGGCTTTGAGACTCTTGGCTGGCATCTATACAAACAGCTCTGCTAAGACAAATTACTGCTCTGTTTGGGAGAGGCACAGGCTATCTAGAATCACAGAGCATCCTGAGTTGGAAGGGTCACACAGGGATCATTAAATCCAACTCCTGGCCCTGCACAGAACCTCTCAAGAGTCACACCATGTCCCTGAGAGCATTGTCTAAACACTCTTGAACCTCTGCCAGGTTGGTGCTGGGACCACGTCCTTGGGAAGTCTCTTCCAGAGCCCAACCACCCTCTAGGTGAAGAATCTTTTCCTAAAATCCAACCTAAACCTCCCTTGACACAACTTCAGGCCATTCCCACAGGTCCTGTCTCTAGTCACCAGAGAAAAGCGACCAATGCCTGCCTCTTCCTCTTCCTTTCATGAGGAAATTGTAAAAGGCATGAGGTCTGCAGGCAGACCAATTTCCAGTTATGCAGTAACTGTCTATTTAGAATACTTACTTAGAACTTTCATTCATTTTCAGTATTTCACGTAACAAATTCAGCCAACAACACAAAACCAAGTTTTCTACTTAGACATTCATAATTAAATTTAGATACTGCATGACATACCTAGTATTTTCTGTAAATTAAAATCCACTGGCAAAGACAGTACTGTCTGACAAGCAGCTGCAACAAATAAAACCAACAAAATTAGCTTAGAGTGACCTTTTAGTAAAGCTGTAGAAACAAAAATTCACTTTCAAATTGCACAGCAATTGAGGTATTTAAATTACAGTTGCAATAAGAAAAAGCATTAATTAAAGTAAGATTCTGATCTGACAATACTGCATGTAGCACACTAGGCTTAGAAATAAAAACCCAAGCATTTTAAGAATGCCCCTCTAGAGGCTTTTGTGTTAACTGAGAATAGAGGTCTCTGAAGAAAGGAAAGATTCAAAACAAAGTGGCAGAAAAATCAAAATACCTTGGGGAAAACCAGTAACTGTTTATCTAAAATGATGCAGTTTAAAAGACATTTCAAGATTTCTGATATTTATTTAGCATAGAAAATAATCATATTCTCTAACCCAAAACAATCCAGCCTATTAAAGGTTTTATTAAAATGAAATTTACTTCTAAATTTGAAGCTCACATTTCTTTTTTAATCCACAAAAAATACAGACACTGAATTGGAAAAACCAGACTTCACAGTCTACAGGGGACTTATTTTTTTACTTGAAAAAATACATCAGAGTATAATAGAATTAAATTCCTATGAGAAATGGATATTAAAATTAACAGTACCATACAGTTCAATAAGAACTATTTCTACAGTAACTCAAACAATTTCCTTTTGAAATTAAGTATCTATTAAAAATGCATTATTTTTGTTCAGAGAAAGCCTGTAATTTTAAACATTGCCTTTTACTCACCATTGCTTTTCCCAACCTGCAAGCTCAGCTGTCTTCCAATCGGAGAAATGTTATTTATATCTATGGCTGGAAAACATAGACCTTAAATTTAAACAAGCACTGCACATAGTTTTGAAATGAACAACATTAAGTTAGAATACTTAATACAACCAAACAACATTTTTGCATCAATGTTTGGAAGAGATTAGAAAGGAATACTGAGAAAAGGTTACCATTATAGGTATCAAGAGAATTTCAGCATGTTTCTATTCAAAAGTAGCTTAGTGAAGTAGCATCAACATTGCCCAAAACTTTGTCTCCTCCTGTCTCTACATGACAAGAGATTTAAAACAAACTAGTTCATGCTTAGCTAAACAGACTGTGTCCAAGTAAAACACATTGCCAGAAAATCATTTAGCCTGGACTGGAGAAAGGTAAAAGATACACTTCAACATTTTTTTTTATGTAGCTGAAGAACACAGACTATTTTCTTCCTCCATTCGCTTTACCAGATTTCAGATTATCCTTTATGTTCTCTGCCCTTAAAGTGACCATCTTACAACTGACAATTAAAAAAAAAACTACCCACAAGCTGGATCTCCTTGATCAAAAATGTAACAGCTTAGCCTTTTCCAAATCTTCCAAAAATCCCCACTTATTTGACTTTCATAACAAACAACAGGGCATGCTAACAATACAGCTCACATTTTCCATCTTATAATCAATTTGTTCTGTATTCTGCTGGTTATGCATAACATCAGTAAGAGCATTAAGAACAAAATCTAAGATTGTTATAAATTAAACAAACTTACAAAACACACCACTAGTGGCAGTGAACTAGCAGGATGACAACATGAATTTATGCTGCTAGTGAGGGTAAAAGAATACAGAGTTCTATTTCCAATATGCTATATGGTGAGGAAAGCGGTCGGAATAAGAGGATGCACAAATATCTGAAGAAACATGTGAAGTAGAAGACTCAGCTATTACCAGTATCAACACAGTTGATAGTTACAAAGTTACGTGTGTAAATTAAAATGCTTGCAGACAGATTATTAACGGAGAAAAATCTAAGAACAAAGACCAAGAATAACAAAAAGGAAAATTATATAAGACTTTCAAATAATAAATAATTTTTAAACGAAGGAAGCACTTGGAGACAATCAGTTGTGCCATACTTTATCCCTGGTTCTTAAAATTAATTAAATTGAGGTTGAAAAAAATAATTATCCATGATAATTTCTCCAAAAGCTATATTATTTTGGGTGGACACACAAAAGCAACTTACATTTAGTTGAATTAAACTGAGAAACTTGCTTGCCTTCATGTTCAGTCCAAGGAGAAGGAACTATGAGTTTTTTTGTGAAAAACTGGAGTAGAATAAAAATAAACCATCTCAGCATTTTTTAAAATTTTCAACTTTAAATTTAGACTAGTACCCTGAACAAGAAAAAAATGTAGAACATTTCATTTTAGGTTGAAAGAGGTTAAAGAAAAAACAATTTGATGACCTCTATGTTCTTTATGACCCATAGGACCTCAGATCTTTCAAGTCTGCAGAGTGAAAACTATACACAAGTTTCATTTAACTGCAATTACTCATTTTAAAAATTGAATTGTCACTACCATGCTTCTTGCATAGTAGTTTTAAAAATAATTAATTCTAAATTTTCAGTTTGTTAAGTTTTATTTTGACAATTGAGCTATTTCACAGAAGTGACAGACACTGCAGTAATAGTAAAAGTGATAAACCAAGGATTTTTGGCAACATTATTAGTGTTAGTGTACTTGGCTAAACTGGTTAGTGGTAAAACACTTTTGAGTACTGGCAGTTCAGTTTTTTTCTGTGTACCAGAAACTGTCTACTCACAGTTGCACTGAGAAACACCCTGATGCTAAGGAGGCAAACACTATCACAAAAGCTTCAAGAAACACATGGCAAATCCTGTTCTCAAATAAATGCAAGATTCAAAAGTATATTAAAAAAAATCAGCTTGAAACACACAATTATTAAAGGTATAATTTTTATCAGAGAGAGTTTCAAGCTGTCCAGCTGCCATATTCCATTAGGTTATACCTCACAAAGAGGCAATACCCCTTTTAACATAAGTTTAGAACAACAGAGCATTTTAAGTGCAGTCAACGACACAGCTCCTTTTTGGAATCATAAAACATTTTTTGTTTGTAGAGACTGAAAGTGATAGACCTGCCTATCAGAGACTTATTTTATTTATTTTTTAATTGAAAATACATTGAAGATTACTGTAGTGAATATTTTAAACATTTCACTCTTCCTTCTATGCTAGCCAAATGAGTAGTGAGAAACGAAATTAAAATTAGATGGCAAAATACAAGCTACCAGAATAAAGTCATCCATCCAAAAAAGCAGACTTTGGAAGAAATGAAAAAAAAATCCACACAAATTCTCCAATATTTAAAAAAATGCAGTATCACTCCTACTGTTACTGTAAACCCCCATATTCTCAATCATTGTTTATAGCCTGAAGTTAGTAAGAGTTATATTACAGCTATATTACCACTAGCCAAGAAAAATGAAATTAAAAAAATCTCCTGTTTTGACCTACACGTCTGAAAGAAGAGGGGAAGGAGTGTGTGGATTCCAGCTACAACTGCAAGGGATGAGGGTGCAAAATTACTTTCTTATTGAAATAAAATAGGCTTCTGGGTTTTGAAATCCTGTATAAGATGTAGATCTTTTCTGTAGACAAACGAATATTTGGTAGCACAAAGTTTTATTACCTCCTCAATAGCTTTTTGCCTTCTGTCTTCTGTCTCTTTATCCATTCTAAGTAACAAACAAAAAACAACTCAATTATCAAAACTATAACATAAGTAGGAAAAGATGTAAAATCCAGCCACATAATACTTTATAGATGCTCAAGAGAAACTTTATAAATTAAATTGCGATAAACTCTAAATATTATTATATTTTAATCTTACGTGCAATAATCTCATACTATAAATTTTTAAATATAAATTCAGTTGATTTGAAAAATATTTGTACCATTTAAAAATACATAATAGCAAATATTCTGTTTATGCAGCATATCTGGACAAAAACTTAATTATTACTGATCTTCCAAAATAATGTCATATGAAGGTATCACTATTAAAGTTCACATGAGATTAGACTTGTACTATAAAGCAAGCAGACTAAAAAACTGAGGTGTAAGGAATTAAAGGGCAACTGAAAATACTCCTGGAATTTGCATACTCAAATTCCTGACACAGCCCACTTTCCCAGCACAGAGTTCTCTAGTCAAATACCCAGTCTGCCACAGCTTCTTCAGTACGATATTTTTGTTCTAACAAAAACTATATTTCTTTAAGCAGCTTTTAACTTAATAATAAAAAAAAATATTGTAGTTACTTCAGTTACTTCATGCTATGTGAGATTCTATATTTGTATTTCCTCTAACGGTCACCTTCAAGACTGACTTTCAGTTACCACAATGTAATTTACTGCAAAATTTTTTTAAGTTTATAAATGTTCATCATTTATAAGCTTCAAAACCACTCAGTACTTTCATTCACAGTTCATAAACCTGAACTACCCTTGAGTAATTTTAGAAATTCAGATAACAAGATAGTACCAGACATACAAGCACACATAGATGTGACAAATACATAAACTCTCACAGCTCTCTCTTTTATTCTTATCAGACTTGAAATATATGTACAATGTTTGGACATGCCACCTTCTATAACATCTGCCTGATGATGCTAAAATGACAGCTCGATGGAGGACTTGCCAGAGTTATTGTACCAAAAAACAAGGATACAATCACTGTGTATTCATTTATATGTATGCACTAAAATATGCAAGCATGGACATAGCAGATCTACACATAGTCAAAATAGCCTTTTTCTAGTCACAGCAGATGATTTAAAAAAAATTGACCTTTGTTGTTTTTGGACCGTGGGACAAACTGAAAGAACCCACTGAGACAACACATCTTTATATCTATAGGCCATGCCACTCATCATGACTGGAATTGTCACCCAAGTCATCTCCATTAAAGCTAGTTTGACTGAGTAAGGTTCCAGAAACAATATAATTAAAACATGGCTTAAGGCTTCAAAATATACAAAAAGCACTAGTCTGGGTGCTACCGGGTGCTAAAGGAAGGACAGGAAACATTAAAACCTGGTGACTCAGATACAGTTAGAGTCTGGGAACAGTTGTAGTCCTACAGCTTCTACTATTCAAAAAGAGAGATGTAGGTTCGGTCAGACACTAAAACCAGTAAGTTATTTCACAGTATTTTTTATTATGTGTATTGAAACACTGGAACAGGTTGCTTGGAGTAGATGCCCCATTCCTGGAAACATTCAAGATCAAGGTGGATATGATTAAGCAACCTGATCTAGAGAGGATTGATTTATTATTCTATTGCTGTAGTGCTTCATACCATGAAGAGAAGTTCTTTCTGCAAGTTTATGTCTGAGAAATGTACAGGAGTCTACAGGATTCACCACTAAGGCTCCCCTTGGCATGTCATTCTCTACCACCCGCATGTAAAATTATCTCTCAAGATAAGCTCCAAACACCAAGACTGTTTAACCCACCCATTTTCCTCATGCAGATTTTCAATGAAGAGAAAAAAGTTAGGATAAGGTCCTCAAACTACTTCAAATAACTAGCACTGGAGCCCCCTCCTTCACATTAAGTCTAGTCTATACCTTCAAAAGAGACTGCTGGGGCTTCCCCAGCTAGTTTCCCCAACATGTCTACCCTTCTGCAGGAGCCCCAGGGACCAAAGCCTCACCAAGGAGCATTCTGAGAAGATAAATTGTGTTGTAACAAGGAGCAGAAGAGGTAGCCTGGTAATGATCACTGGCAAGACATTTTCTGCTTCCACTAGCTGCTTTTATTTGGTTGTGTTCCAAACTGCAATCAGAGTGGATCAGCAGCTCTTACCATTAAAAGGAAGCAACATGGAGGTAGCCTCATCTAAATATTATATCCACATCATGTAAAAGATTGTGTAAGAAGATTTTCATTAAAAGTCTTTAATGCTATGCTGAAATGTTAATAAAGCAAAAGAACAACTGTTCTAGTATTAAAGCTAGGTTAGCTGCATAAAAATAGATTATAACTTACCTAGCATGGCTCAAATACATTCCCTGGCGTCGAATGTCTTCCGAGTCTATTTCCACAGGATTTATTAGAGCAAGCTGATCAATAGACCATCTGAATTTTCCTGGTGTCTAAAAAAAGAAACAGGCATCTTAATGCTTGCTGTTCAAAAAGGGAAAAATTAAACCACAGGACAAATCTAAATGGAACAATACAACCACAGCTTCCATATGGTTTCTGTCAAAAGCAATCAAAAGTGTTTCTATTTAAATGATCTATTTAAAAAGAATTAAGTCAGGCTTCTTAAGCTGCTGGTAGTGGTATTACAAGGATTAACAACATAATATTAAGCTGGTATTCACAAAATGAGGTGTCAGTTTCTTCTCAATTCCTATGGACAGGTCTACTAAAGATGCATAACTTCACGCAAACTGAAATTGCTTCTTCAATCCAAACGATGGTTCCACAAAAACTCAGTATCCTAACTAAAGTTATCCAAATAATAGAGCAATCCCATTTCACTTCCCATTTCTAAGAAGACCAGAGCTGCAATTCCTGTACATTCTGCAATGTCTCCCTCATAAATGCCATACATAGGACACAACAAAATCCAATTCAGAAGTAAGAAGCTTCACCCCTTTATTTAATAAGGTACTGTTCAAATATATTTGGAAAATTATCTACCAAGTGAGTCTTTTCAGTTTCATTAGCAGATTCACCTCTACTGCTTATCAGAAAATAATTTCAACTGCAAACCAGTATATAATTTCCAACAAAAAAAAAAAAAAAAAAAAAAAAAAAAAAAAAAAAAAAAAAAAAAAAAAAAAAAAAAAAAAAAGGCAGCTATAGATACACAAAATCATTGACTTGAATACACAAACAGCTCACAACATAAGTGCAATCAAGTTTTGCAACCAGCCTACTCAGCATCTAAGTAGAAACTGGTTTTCTGCATTGTAAGTAGGACCAGAGTATCTCATCAACAACTAGCCTTTATCTACTTTCTACTGGTTTTAGCACCCAATCTCTAATATCTAAAGACAAAATAAATTTAGGCAGGGAGGAAGACTACGTGGCAATATTAGTATTTAAAAGCAGCATAGTTCTGTGAAGAGAAGAAACTCCAAATGCCACCGAAGTTCTTTAGCTTGGTACATATGTTGAAGTACACTAAATAAAATACCCTTAATGCATTTGAAAATATTAGCACTATATCTTTACAGTCACATAACTAACGACTAGATCTTACAGATGAGGATTTCGTTGACTTAAAGACTGAAGGACTGGAAACAATCTGCTCCTGAAGAGTGTAATAATCACTGGGACTTTCAAAAGGATTCAGGATCGTGACTCGTCCGGGAGTTTCTGGTGCTATCTGCATTTTAGCTTCTTCTGTATCACCCATAACACCAAGCTATACCTGAAAAACAGGAGAACAAAATTAAGGAAAACAATGAAATCACACTTTTGACGTTTTAGGGCCACCCTGAAGGCTTTGGGCAGAGAGAATTAGTCATCTGAAGGCACTAGCAACATTTCAAAAACGAAGTTAGGACTGGTTGGACTTAATGACATAAAGTTCATAAATAAGTCCGGTACAAATTACAATTACAAATAAACAGAAACTACGACGACGAGTTAAGAAAGAACGTGAAAAGAGGGATTAAGAAAAACCAAGCAAACACCCCAATAAGGGCAAAACAACAAGGAAACAAGCCAAAAAATCCAACAAACAAACAAACAAACAAACAAAACCCAACTAAGCACCAGAAGTGACCAGGCAGCCCCAGCGGCCGGGGCAGCAATAACGCCCCGGGCGGCTCCCGCTCCGTCCGGGCACTAAAACCGCCCGGCCTCCGCCTCAACGGGCCGGGGGCGGCCCGGCCCTCGCGGGGCCGCGGCGGGGGGCTCCGGCCGGGGGCGCCTCCCGGGCCCCGCCCGCCAAGGGGACGGGAGCCCCGGGGGAAGCGGCCCCGCTGAGCACCTTCTCACGCTTCTCCCCGGGACGGTGCCACCGCGCCGAGCCGCTCGGCGCTCTCCCAAGCCCCGCCGCCGCGGAGGCGCTGCCGGGCCCGCCGGGAATGCCGAGGATGCGGGCACAGCCCGCTGCTGCCGCCGTTACCCGGCCCCGGCCGCCGCCGCGCCGCTCCCGCCGCCGCCGCGCCGGGCGGCCCTTTAACCAGCCCCGCCCCCTCTGCGGCTTCTGACCAATCACGGAGCGCAGTGTGCACAGTCGGGCCAATGGCAGCGCTGCCCCTCTCTCGAACGGGCCAATCGCCAGCGCCGCCGCCGCACGAATTCAAAGCAAGCCCGCCCCCGCCGCGCTCGCGCTGCGCCGGGACGTCACGTGGGGCCGGCGGGCCCGGGCGTGCGCGGCGCGTTCCGGTTCCGGGCGCGGCGGGGTCGCCATGGCGAGCAACGCCGCCAGCCTGAACGCCGTGAGGGAGACCATGGACGGTGCGTGACACCCCCGGGCAGCCACTGCTGAGGGAGAGGGGACGCCTGGCCCCGCCGTGGGCCGTGCACAGGGACGCCTCTCTGGGGAAGAGGGGCGCGGGTTGCGGCTGCCGAAGGATGCAGCGTGTAGTTCTTGTTTCACTCCGTCTCACTTCGCGAAACAGCTCAACCCCCGCAGAGCGAGTGCCTTTGGAACTGACGTGGCTTTTCCTTTTTTGGTTTTGTTTCGTTTTTAAATTTCGCTCGGTATTTAACATAGAATATTAGGGGTTTTTCAGTGTCTGTATATATTTATATTTGCTCTCGTTTCCCGTTATTTGTATCGGTTGCTGTAAATGCCGAGCCTGGGGCTGGCAGTGCGCGGGAGGGAGAGGAGGGAGCGGCGCTGGGCCGGGGTCAGCGGCAGCGCCCGCGCCGACCGAGCCCCGACCATTGTTCTTCGTGGCTCATGTCAGAAAAACAAAGTACACGGCAAAAAAACCCCTCAAAACAGCCCAAACTGCAGTAATAGTGAAAAAGTTTTGAGGACGGTAGTCAGTGCTGCAGAGCTAAAATGGATTCTGATATGGAAAAAAAAGCAACGACCAACCCCAACCTCAGGTGCTGTTTGTTGTGGGATGGGGAATGTGAGAGAAGGGGTACTGGGAAATACTTTGTACACTGATAAGCCATGAGAAACGTGAGCAGGTGAGTGAGTTTCGTGTGCTCATTTTCAGCCTGACTAGAAAGGCCGAGGAGTCAAAGGATGGCATGTTTTGGAATTGTTTTGCACTGTAGTGTGAAACTCTGGAATTCCACAAAACGCCTATACCGAAAGCTTATATGCAGGGTGGAAATCTGTTGAGGGTTGTTAAATGTGGAACCTTTCTCTGAAAATGCCCTAATGAAGGGAGTAGAGTCTAGGGGGAATGTTTCAGGGATAGTGATGTGAATTTGTTATTTTCTCAGCATCCTCACTTCCCTTGAAGTTACGGCTGCTGTTACAAATGGGTCTTTTGATACAGACTTTCATGAGTTGAGCTGGTGTAAAAATTAGCATTTCAGCCACTGATCTTCATGCTCTGACCTGCTGCTGGAAGCAAGGCAGGACTAGTAGGATCATTATGGCTTCTCTGATGCTGCAAGAGGGTAAAACCATTTTGTGCAGATAGAGAGTGACTTCTTTGGGAAGGACAAAGAATATAAGTTCTGGTAACTGTACTTGACAAATTCACTCTTTCAGGAATGATTTCGACAGGAGGGACAACAGGCGGATATAAAGACAAAGTAAGGCTTTTGAGAATAGATAGGGAAAGTGCACTAATGTTCAGATTTAGGAGCCCAGGCTTCCTGTGTAACTATATTTTATTTAGGATAGATATAGAAATTTAGCAGTTGTTGTCTGCAAAGTTGTTAAGAGCTCAGAATTGTTGCGGAGAAACTGCTGCGTCTCTCTGCCAAAGACACTGCCTCAACACCCAAACATTAGAAAGACTTCGTCAGTATCTGGAGTCCAAAAGCACAGAGTGTTCTTATAGCCCACCTTTTACCTAATTGGCAGGTGTAATTGTTGAATGTTTCACTTATTTTTTTTTACTCTTTCAAAACCTATTATCCAATATTAAATTTCCTGAACCAGGAAAGCATGGTGTGTATGTTAGAAGCTGTAGGTTTTAGCTTATGCTGGAAGGTTGAGCATAAACATTGTTGCAAACAACAAAGGACCCCTGCTATGTTCAAACTGTTGAAGTGCTGTAGAATCTAAATGTTGATGAAGAACAGTCTTGATCATTGAAATTTCATAGTCTGTAGGAATTAAAGCGCTTTATTTTTTTTTCTGTTGCAGTTCTGTTTGAGATTTCAAGAATATTAAACACTGGCTTGGATATGGAGACATTGTCTATTTGTGTGCGGCTTTGTGAACAAGGAATAAATCCAGAAGCCTTATCTTCTGTTATTAAAGAACTGCGGAAGGCTACAGAAGCTCTAAAGGTAATGCTCTAGTTTAAAAAGCTTATAAATCTGTTCTTAAGAGTCAGATGCACATGCAACTTGCTGTACTTCAGTTTGCAGATTGTACTTTGATATGACTCATTTTAGCTGTTGAATAGAGGAGGCAATGAAAACAACTGAACATGAAACAGGAAATGGTACAAATAAAATGTTTCTTAGAAATACAGTAATTAAACTAACTCTTCTGAAGAAAAAAACACAACCAAAATTCACAAGTTTTTATTATGGTCTCCATTTGTCCCCTTACCTGCATAATATCACAAATAGATTTTTCCTTTAACCAATACCCCCTCATTATTACAACCTCAGATTTAACAGTATGCAGCAGTACTTGTAAACAGGAACATTCAGCTTGTTAACATCATCTTAACATATTGCTTTTCCCCCTTTAACCTGTGCTTTGAGCCTTTCCCACAGAAAGAGGGAATTTTGTGATGTGTATATATATATAGGGCTTTTCATATATGTGTATTTTACCTGTTTAACTACTAGAGGGGTAACCATGGTTTTTAAAACAAATCTCACTTGCATTTTAAAGGATTATCATTCTTTACTGCTTAGCTAAACATCACAGTCAGGGATTTTTATTACTGCATCTTATATTAGGCTGTTTATGAGAAGTGAAAGGGGAAACCTATATCTTGCTTCTATTCTGGAAGACTTCATATTTTATTTTTAACTTAGTATTTTTCTATGCTCATGCATATTTTGTATTTGTGTCTATGTTTAAAGGTATTCTTATATATGCATTTAACTGTATATAAATAATTGAGGGTTGTTTTACTTCTTCCATTGCTTTCACTGGTTTCCCATTCCTTTTGCTTTCCTTTGCCTGTTTGTCCCATAACTGCTTTAAAATCTACCAATGTCAGTCTTGAACAACTGTGCCTTGTTGACTGTAGTTATCCAGTGATAAAATTACTAATATTCTTAATTAAATAATTGTTAGTGTGATTATGCAGTTATGATTAGCGTCGTTCCTCTGAGTTTTGTTTCAATAACTAATCTGTATGGATTGGGTAATCATTACCATTAATTATGTAAACTCCAAAGGTAACTATATTTATGCATTTGAGCCTTTCTTGAAAGTATTAGGGTAAAATGTACAAGATAAAAGCTGCTCAAATACAGGATGTAAGACAAGTAAACAGCAGTGGCTCTTTTAGTAAAGGGTAATGGCAGTTGGTAGCATTATTTTTTAGAAAATAGTAGTGTTCATTAGAAAAAATTTCCTAAGTAGCTTTTTTTTTTTTAGACCCCTAAGTTTTCTAGGTAAATTTAAAAAGTTAGAAGAAAAGATTTAATTTCATCTACATGGCGTCTCTTTTAGTGATGTGGGATGATTTTTTTCTTTTTCTAGGCTGCTGAAAATATGACAGGCTGACATGGGAGAAGATCTCTGCATGAGAAGAATGCCAAGTTAAACTTATCAGAAGCTCTGAAGATTGCCACTATTAAGAACAAAAAATGAAATAAGTGTATGTGAAGGTTTCAGAGTACTTCCGTTATACTTTTCAAAAGAATGGTGTATATAAGAGCTTTGAAAAGTTTTTAAAAAGTCCACCAGTAATATTATTGGTATTTTTGTGAACTGTTTGTGAATGTAGTGCAATTGTTTTTCTCTGGCATCCTGTACATTTAAAATCACACCAGATATTGTACATTGTTGAATTTACTAGTGTGTACCAACAAATCTTTTTAGAATGAGTGTAGTTTTTTTAATGCATCCTTTAGAAGTGGTAGTATGTCATGGGTTTTACCTTTTGCTTTGATGAAAAGCTACATGTGCAATTTTAGTCTTGCTTTGTTGTCCAGATGGGAATGAAGCCCATAGTGACTTTATTTTAGAGCAAGAGCAGTAACTTAAGTCTCAAGCTGAAAGTAATAAATAAAGCATTTTTTTACTAATGTAGGTTGTGAATTGTGCTTTTGATTTCAATTCAAATTGCTGGGAAAAATATTTAACTTAGATAACCAAAGCTCTTCAGCTATCCATGTAGATATGTATGTAAATTTGAATTCTAGATGACATGGAATGTTTCACAGTGAGCAGATGCTACATTTGTTACACCTGTTCTGACTGTAGGTTCTAAAAATATTAAGGCTATATTGTTACTGCAATACAATAGTCAGTGCATACATGAGAAGCATCTGATTCGGTTGATGAGTGTCAGTAAGTCTTAAACAGCTGCTTGGTACAGGAATATCTTCTCATTTAGCACTGGAAACCTTTACTGATGCCAAAAGAGGTATTAATGTCCAGTAAGTATCTCTGCACCCAGGAATTGTACCTTGCAAGAAGATAGTTTCTTGTGTGTTCTTCATCTGCTGCTGTATAAGTTTTTGGGGGATTTTCAAAGGCTTTTGATTTTTTTTTTTTTGTTATGCTGTTTTCAAAGTGTAGCGCTAATGGGACCTAAAGTAACCTGCAGAGTTAACAGGGCAAAGCACATTTGGAAATGAACCTGGAATCTTAGTTAAGCCAAAAGTTATATTTGTGCAGAGATAAAAAGTTCATTTTATTTGAAGAGTTTACATCATATACACTCTGGATCATAGCTCTACAAAAAACAATAAAGGAAACAAAATACTTCATATTGCTGACAAAGAGAATAGAAAAATATTTATATTGCAGTGACTCACTTGCCTTTATTTTC